GGGGGAGTTGTGCCTTGGCAGTCCAAGCTGCAGAAGTGTGTTGCTTTATCCACAACCGAGGCAGAGTACATTGCCGCAGCGGAAGCTGGGAAAGATATGTTGTGGTTGAAGCGTTTTCTATAAGAGTTGGGACTAAAACAAGAAAAATTCACGGTACATTGTAATAGCCAGAGTGCCATAGACCTCAGCAAGAATTCAATGTACCATTCTCGTACAAAACACATTGATATTCGGTATCATTGGATACGCGAAGTGATGGACAAGCAGTTATTGGAACTGATCAAGATCCACACAGATAAGAATCCAGCCGACATGCTTACAAAGGTGGTCTCGAGAGACAAACTCGAAATTTGCAGAGACATTGCCGGGATGGACTTCAAGTGAGAAGTCAGTCATGCATGTGGGTATGGAGGGGGAGAATTGTTGTTCCAACCCACATGCATGCAAAACCATGCAAGCAAGTAGAGGGTCAAAGAAGATGGCGTAAGAAGACCTCCACTGGAAGTGAAAGTCTATGCTGGGCATATCTGCAAGTTTCTCTCTTCCCTTCTCTTCACGTTGTTGTTCCTTGTTGATTTTCACCATTCACCATTAAAGAGGGTAGACATTTTTTGGTGGGTTGGTGTATCTCTCTCACACTCTCTTTGTGTATAAATAGAGACGGGAGGGAGAGGATGTTTTGTATCAGAAATTAGAGAGTGAGAGCTGTGAGTTGAGTGAGTTTCATCTCCTTCTCTGCATTTGTATTTTGCTCCATTTTAATGAAAAATTCTCATTTCTGTCCGTGGATGTAGGCATTGGGCCGAATCACGTAAATATTGTGCTCTCTGTGTATGTGAGATAATTTTTCTGGGTGTGTTTGATCCTAACAGATAGAATAGCGTATAGTTATGCAAATAATTATTCCCCTGTTCAAACATCTTTTCATTATCCACGATGTATAGTTATGCCACTTTTAAAATTATTTGCAAAAGCTAGTAGTGTTTTTGGATGATGGGACATGTATAGATACAAATAGTTTGAGAATGTACCTTCATAAACTACCCAAATTAAACCTGTTTGAATTTTTAAATATTCAATTAATTGGTTGTTAACTTAGGATTGTTGGTGCAAAAAGTAACTTGAAGACTCAAATTTGGCCTGTCAACCAGCTCTAACTACTAATGGATTCAATATGTAGCGAGAATCTACTAAAGAAATCATTTTTTGTAACTTTTACAGGCCGTCGCAAATAACAAAAATGCAATCGCAAAAATCTTTTACAATGGTCATGTGACGGCAAATAGGGAATGCGAATGTGAGGTGGAAAATATTTTATGCGACCTTAAAATATTGGTCACAAATTATTTGTGATAGCTTAACCTACTTATGAATGTTTTGCCGTCGTGCAAAATAAATAAATAAATAAATACCTACAATATTTTAGCAACCATCTTATTACCCTCGCATAAAAAAAATAAAAATGCCTACAATGTTTTATCAACCTATGTTCTCATACATAATATACAATAAATGTGAAGAGATGTCTATAAAATTTTAGCATTCATGCATTGTTTTCCATCTTTTCTCTTAATAAAATTCTTTTTCTTCGGGAAACAAAAAGTTCACATGACTTCCATACATGCAAAACAAAAATCCATCAACCATCCTGTAAAATATTTATAAAAAGTACTAACATAATCAAATGCTCAAAAAAATAATAATAATAATAATAATAATAAAATAAAATAAAATAAAAATCTTAGTTTAGCTCCCAATATATCCATATCTCTCCTCCTATTTGACATGATGAATATAAATGCACTTATTTAGATAAGTGTACTTATTTGGGTCTTATCACATTTATACTTTTCTGAATATCTTTTTTTGTAAAAAGTCAAAAAATATATTTATTAAGATCATTCCAAATAACAAAAAAATTATGTATTTACCACCTTGCCAAATTCAGAACAAAAGAAAACAAATGTAAGCACATGAAAGTTCAATTTCCAATAGGTAGGTCCATAAAAAATAATAAATAAATAAATAAATAAAATAAATTAAAAAAAAAATCAAATTCAAACATATAATAACAAAAAAAGTAAATAAATTACAGAAAGTGAACTAGAATGTGCTATGGCAAGATCAAAATATGGTATGCAGCAACTTCAGAGAAGTAGTCAACATACATATCAAAAATCGATATGTAGAAACTTTAGAAAAGAAATCAACATAAATATTACAAATTAGTATGCAGTAACTTTAGGGAAGAAATCAACATAATATCACAAATCAGTATGCAGCAACTTCAGAGAAGAAATCAACATATATATCACAAATCAACATAAATATCAAAAATCTTATAAGTCGTAAAATGCTTAGCACCAAAAGGGCCCAACTATGGCAGGATATAGCTTTGAAATTCACTTCTAGAAAAGCCTTCATCATCCCCAACTTCGTTTCCTAGTGCCTAGATTGAGACCATTACCCATTTATATAACCAATTATCATACAAGTCCAAAAATGAATATGCACTAAAAATATATCATTTTTCTTATAAAATATTTTTTGTGAATTGATTCATATCTATCTTGCAAGTGAAAATAATTATTAGTGTCTCTACTGAAAATTCTTAGCATATAAATTCTCTGCAAGAGTTTCGCTCCTAATAGAAGAATTAATGATCCATGTACCAATTCAAATTCTAGAACTACTTTCAAAATAAAAGAATTCAAGTTTTGGGAACCTATTCTATCATTCAAACAACAAACATATCTTAATCCTTTAGAGCCAACTGTTTGTGATAATTTTCTTTCCAGTTTAATTCCACTGGAACTAGGAAACCTTAGGAATTTGTAGTATATAGACTTGGGAATACTCTCTTGAATGAAAGCATACCTGGCATATACAACTGCACCACTTTGTTAGAACTCAGCCTCATCCTTAACAATCTCACTAGTACAATCCAGTCAAACATCGGTGACTTAGTTAATTTTTCAAGTCAAGCTTGAACAAGACCAAACTATTTGAGCTCAACTCATTATGGTTCGATTAAAGTTCAATTGCGATCCACTCGAACGAAAAAAAAAAAAATTCAAGGTTGAACACATTTTGAGGCACGTTTACAGCCATATCTCTTGCTCCTCAAACAGAGGAGCAAAAGAAATCATAAACCAAGAAAACAGTGCCTCAAATCATTTAATGAATGTATCCTCACATCTTGCAACCAGAATCCAAAACAAATAAACAAATACAGGCTCATGAGACAAACAAACAGATAGATAGATAAAGGTGTTCTTATATTCTCATGTATGGAGAGACAGAGAGAGAGAGAGAGACCATCCAAGTAGTAAAATGAAGCAAACACTAAACTATTAGCCTTTTCAAGTTAAGACTACTACAACTTTTTGTATCCACAGTTAAATAGAAGACCATAATTAGTATAATACCTGTACATAGGAAGTCTCGGCTAGCAAACTTGTCTCAAAAAAAAAAAAAAGTGTGCAATGGGTGCATAAGGAAAAAAATCCCCAGAAATGGTTCCCGCCAAATAAGTGGCGAAGGGACATTTCTCTACAACTACTCTTATATTTCCACAGAATATTACACATATGGCCACCAAGTTGGTCATCCAAATTTAAAAAATAAAAAACAAAAATCCAAACTGATAAACATCACACACGGTTCAACAAAAAATGTCAAAGATAAACAACGAATAATCTTGTCCTACCGTACTTGTTGCTTGCATTTAAGGCATGCAACATTAACTTATGCAATCCTAAAAAAATTTACAAATGAAAGTTTAACCATCAAATGTTAGTTTCAAGAAGCAAGTATTGTATTATTGATGAACATAATACTTCAAAAATGTGTGTGTGGGTGTGTGGGTATGTATGTGTGAGAGAGAATATACGTACACATGTCAAAAATTAAAATGCATTAAAAATAAAAAAACACATTATTTCTATTTCCAACAAGAAAGACCTCAAGCGAGCTATTTTCCGAAGAGGATAAAATCATGCACTTCTTAATTAAAGAAATGAACTGCCACGAAATATCTCATTCATATCCCCTACAAAAAAATATTAACTAAAATCTCAAAGAAAAACAAAACTTTCCTAAAATTTGTAATTGTGAGAATTTAATTTAATTCTAAATTTAAATTTTAGGTTCCTATATAAAGTTTTCTAAAGTTTGTACCTCTTCATTTATTTATTTATTTAACTATTTCAATAGTTTAATATATATATTTAATTAGTTTAATATATATATATATATATTTGAAATAGTATAAATAATAAATTACCTACACATGTTGATACAGTTCCTAAACGGTCAACGTTTCAAATTTGTTTGACCATTTCTTAGTGCCAACGGTTTGACAATTTATTTGAATGAATTAGTGCATCTGTTCACTTGGCTTTGCACCTTTCCGAGGCTAAGGATTTTTGCCTATATATATACTGCCATGTTCCAGCAATCAAAAGTCGAAAAAAAAAAATCTGAAATTCTTTCACTTTGCTGTCCATTTCTTTTAGTGCATTATTCCTCATATTTAGTTTTAGGAATAAATATTCAGAGAGTTAGAACACAGGTTTGGTTGGCCGAACAAATTGTTTGGAGTACTACTACAATTTGTGAAGATCATTGTATCCTGGGAGATAGACGCCACTCATCTGTAAGTACCATAGCGGGGCGAATCTGTCTTAAGGACAGAGTATCACACACTCGACTTGGTCTTAAATTATTTATTCGGTTTAATAAATAAATTCGGTACGTTATTTATTTATTTGTTTGGATTTATTTCTATTTATTTTATTTACACAGAAGATTGTTCCAACACATAATACTTCAAAAATGTGTGTGTGGGTGTGTGGGTATGTATGTGTGAGAGAGAATATACATACACATGTCAAAAATTAAAATGCATTAAAAATAAAAAAACACGTTATTTCTATGTCCAACAAGAAAGACCTCAAGCGAGCTATTTTCCGCAGACGATAAAATCATGCACTTCTTAATTAAAGAAATGAACTGCCACGAAATATCTCATTCATATCCCCTACAAAAAAATATTAACTAAAATCTCAAAGAAAAACAAAACGAAAAATGCCAATTCAAAAACAATCAAAGAGCAATATCTCTAACTAAGCAACATTATACACCACTAAAAACAGATTATACAGTAGAATTGCACATATCTGTTTCACCAAACTGCATTGAAATGTACCTCTCTATTTGTTCGTCAACAATAACCTTGTCCCCAAAATGTTTGAACTGCAACAATATGATACAAATCACCATAAACAACAAAGCGAGCAACAAACTTGTTGTTAGGTTTTGTTTCTTGGCAATCCCGTTTGACAAAACTCCTTTGAGTTGTAATTTTATTCGCATTTTTATTTCAGTGAGGGTATGAGTTGTTAGATGCGAATCCAACCCGAATCGAGCCTTTCAGAGAAGTTTATGATGCAAATACTTTCAAGATTGCCTCTTCGCTGATTATTACGGGGGTCGAGCTGCCCGGTCAGCTCGCGGGCCGAAGCAAAATGCAAAATTGCATTCAAAATTGCATGTCCGTCGTTTCTCGCTCGAGCCAAAGAGTTCTCGCTCGAGCTAGGGCTTGCTCGCTCGAGCCAAGGAATGCGCGCTCGAGCCAAGGATTGCGTCCATACAAAAACCTGAAAAAGTGTATTCCTCGCTCGAGCCAAGGATCCGTCGCTCGAGCCAAGGCACTAGTAGAAATCATGAAAAATACACTCCTCGCTCGAGCCAGCAAATCTTCGCTCGAGCGAGCCTCAGAATCCGGATTTCTCAAGGAGTTTGTTTTCTTCCCAATCTAGGATTACTTTTGGTTCTTTATAAATACTTGGTTTTCTCCCAAAACTAAGGCATTGATTAAACTCCTCCAGATCTTCTTTTTGGTTCTTAAGGTTTATATCTGGGGATATTTTGTTAGTTTTCTTTGATGTTTTTGATTGAGTATTCAACTCATGATTTAAAGAGAGTACATCAAAGGTTGTGTTTTGTTCTACAAAAGAGAGAGTTGTTCTTCGGTGGATTCTGAAGAATTCGAGCCTGAAGCTTTGGTGGATTCCGGGGTGGCTCATCGTAAAGACAATTCCGAGGTGAAGACGGGTTGGAAGAGGCACATAGAGGTTGGTTCAATTAGGCGTGGATTCGCTAGGTAATTGAGAGTATACCTGTGTAATTCCTTTAAATCTTCTTAGTGGATTGTTTTGTGGCTGTTGCCCGTGATTTTTTTATCACAGTTGGAGGTGTCCAATTGTGGTTTTTTCCACGTAAAATCGTTGTGTCTCTTTGTCTTGATTGTTTGATTGGGATTGTTATATTCTGCTTAAATTTGATACATAATCACAAATCAACATCTAGGGGATTTCTAGATTTTTCACTTGTCATTAGAATGCATTGTCACTTAATTGATCTCTATAGAGCATTTTTCTATTATTTTAATTTGTTCACTCCAATTCAATTTGCAATGGTGAATATAGCAAATTCTTCTCAATAACAATCCAATACCTCAAATTCACCAAATGCCTGCAGTCTATCCAAAATCTGCTCCATCGGAGCCGAAAAATCCTATAGCAAATCGGCCTATTAGAATCGATTCGACAAGATGTTCTATACAACAGTTGATTCTTGCATGCTTGGTTTTTAGATTATATATCTATATCTGTATATATATATATGCAATGTGAGCAACAAGAATAGAACCTCGAAGACAGAGAGAGAGAGAGAAAGAGTTTGAGCATGCTTGGCCAGGGCAAATATAAGGCCAAGTTTGGCAACCCAAGAATAATCCATCTTTTTATCTTTTTTCCATCACATCACCTCTCTATTTTTCTGCACATCTTTTCGTAAAAAGACAAAAAGTATACTTATTTAGGTCATCTCAAACAACCCCTAAATAAAAGAAAATAGGAGAAATAAATGGGGGCAAATATAAAGCCCACTCATAAACTGGACCTTTTACCACCCCTGACTTGTATCTCATATTGCTGTCGCAAATATATTTTTTGCCACGGCAAAACAGACGGTCGCAAAAATGAAAAAACAGAAAAAAAGAAAAAAGAAAGATGCAAAAAGTCATTTTTTTAGTAGTGCTCTTAAGGAAAAAAACAATACCAACTACTAAGGGATTCAATATGTAGTCCTCTTATGGTCCCATTTGCCATTCAGCACATCACCAATGACTTCTCGCTTTTCCTTTAACTACATCCTGCAATTTTATTCATTCAAAAAAAAACAGCATCCTGCAATTCCAAATAAGGAAAACTCATAAATAAGACAAATTCTAGTGAAAGTTTGTAGAAAAATACACCTAATTAAGTACCCTCGTTACAATGTTGTCCCCAAAAGGGCACTACTGTCAAAAACAGTCTTCTATAACTTCCTATCCTTTTTGTTTTTCATGTTCTCAGCTCATTCCCATCATAAGCTCTGCCACAGAGCCCTTGATATTTGACAAGTTAAATGTTTTCATGCTATGTTTTGATCAATGATCATTGATGAATTGTAATGCCAAAGTGTAACACTAATGCTATCACACATGTACCAAAATGAATGGTTATTTAATATGCCATGTAGGGCCAAAGAGTGCCACGTGCAAATTTATGTCAATAATTTGGACGGTAGTTGGGAATTGAGCCAAATTGGGAATGATCATATAGTTTAGAGACCAAATTGGGAAAAATAAACTTTAAGGGCAAGGTAAGAATTCAATAATACTTTAAGAGGACAAAATATAATTGTATATATAGAGAGAGAAAGAGAGAGGGAGAGAGAGAAACCTGAGCAGAAGAAAGCAATTCTGGTGAAGAGCGAACATATCGTTGACTTACCATAAACTGCAGAACTAACATCAAAACCACTGCCAACTTTCCCTTTTCAAATCTCACATGATAAACCCCACCTAGAAGCATTGAAAACTTACTTTAATCCGTTAAACTTTGGCTTGCTCTCAACATTGGCATATGGAAACATCTCAAGTATAACAACGTGCAAATTTGTAACAATACATTAATGATATAGATAAGATGATCCAAAAAATCACTTTCATTCTAGTAGCTCAGAAAGCATAATCATTATAGTAGATGTTTCAATTGTAGTAAAAGAGAAAGAACATGATAGGCAAAAAATATGAGCAAATAAACACCACTAAAGATAAAATAAGTAAAAGATTTTAAAAGTACAATAGGAAAGGTACAATACCTGATTCCAATATGAATAGAAGTCATTGCAACCTAAGATTGTAATGTCAAGACCTGCATGAATAATCCAGTTGAGACATTAGATATTTACAATTACTTAATTTTAATAAGAAAGATGAAGCATCAAACATTACCTTGTAAAAGTAGTTTGTGTAGCAAATCGTTCTTATCCTTTTCCAATGTCGCAAGGGCTGCTGCTACAGCATATTGCACAGCATATTCTACAAAGGGGTTCCTTGATTCACAGAGATTATAAGCCAACACTGATAAGCATCACCTCAAGCCAATATACCATTTATTTTCCCCGTTATTTGAATTTAGTTATTAAGACAAGAAAAACCACTAAAAATAATTCTTCTTCGGAAGACACAAATGTGGATTGCATGGTAGCTGCTTATCTTGCTCCAGCTAGTCCAAGGTAATGAAGTGAAGAGAGAAAAGTAAATGTGGATTGCTTGGTAGCTGCTCTTCTTGCCGTGGCTAGTCCACAGAAGACACAAATCCTCTTGAACTTGGATTGCTTCATTTCATTCTCTCTACATCAGTCGTCCTAGTTGCAATATCAATAGAAATTCAAACTATATGTAGAAAATATTAGCAGAACATCAGGGAAAGTTTTCGTCATAATTTCAACCCAAAATGTGAATTTAGGACCTATTTATAAGTCCAAAAATGATGTTCTATATTTAATGGAAACAACCTTCAAGGTTCTAGCTTGGCTTTATTACTGCTTATTACACTTTACAAGGTCAAATGAATTATATATGGCCAACATACATATAGTCTCTTCGCAAGTTTTGTATGAACCAGCCAAAGACCCTTCACAATCTAAAACTTCAATGATCTATAAAATGGTATATTAAATTTTATGAGATTTGTAGTTTCATTTGAAGAGATCACTGCAAGAAGAATTTTATTATTATTAAGAAGAATTTTATTATTATTATTATTATTATTATTAGTGATATTTATATTAATATTTTATTTTTGTCTAACTACATCTAGGTAGGAATCAATTCTCTATTGCATGAAGGTAAGGCAAAAGCTATCATTCGATATGGATTGCATCCAGAGAGTAAGGTCACTAATTAAGAATGAGGCAAAGGAAAAATGAAAACACACAAGTATATCAAAATTTTCTCCTTCTTTTCTTGTTTTCCCCATTTTCTAAGCAACCACACAGTGCATAAAAGGAATCCGTACACCAGATTCGATTCCTCAAGAGATACTGAAATTAATAGTACCCGTGAAAGATTCAAAGAAGATAAAGAAAAGAAAAATACCAGTAGAAAGATTCAAAGAAGATTCAATTACTCCTTCAACTGTATTCAATTTCATACAAAACTAGCGCCACAATTTTTATTTTTCTTCCAGAATTGACAATATGCTTTCAAACCAATTTAGGTATAATAAAATTCTGAAAATTCATCATTTGTATATAATTGTGACAGAGCATCATGAGCAACACCATTAGCAATACTCAAAGTAAAATAGACTTTAATGAAGAAAAACTACCAAAGGAAAGATTCAATATCTAACTTTACAGTAGTTAGGAACCTAGACCAGAATAATATATACTACGTCACTAACAAGTCATCAAACAACATCACTATGGATTGCTATCGCTATGTTTGGTTCCCAGGAAAGCATAAAACAACATTTCCAAGAAAGAAAGAAAAAAAACACAAACAAATGCAGTTGCCAGAAAACTAGTTTTCCGAATTTGGGAATCACTCAAGAGACTAATCTTCAAAGCAACCAAGTCCGAAGAGTCCCTGCCGTGTTCGCAGCGGACCCGGGGGTGCTGCTGCGCCCAACTCACAGCAGTAACTGCTGTGAGTTGAAACGGCGTCGTTTCGGCTGTAAATAATAAAAAAAAATAAAATTTTGTTTGGGTGTTCGCAAGGCTTGAACCCAGGCAACTCCGGGGTGCAAAACACACCTTAACCACTGTGCTACTTAGATGCGCCTGAGCATGTTGCACATATATTATATTTATTACAATCTTTATTCCAGCATAAAATAAAATTTACAACCTGCTATTTTTACAATCTGCGTTCCAACATAAAATTACAAATACCCTATTAGCCCTGTTTGGTAGAGCTGTGGGAAAGTGCTTATAGCTTATGCCTAAACAGCTTATAGCTTATAACTTTCAGTTTAAGCTGATTTCCAGCTTATTCTTAAAGCATCTCCTGCCCCACTCAAAGAATAAGCTGATTTCTGACTTCCACAAAGCTATAAGCTATAAGCTAAACCAAACACATCAAAATAGCTTAAATTAAGCTGAAAGCTGAAATAAGCTGTAAATAATTTCTGCCAAACAGGCACATTGTCATAATTTTTTATTTAACATAATTAATTAAAAAAAAATAAAACTCATAATTACTCTCTTATACAATAATAAAATTACTTAAATTATTAATTAAAATATATTTCTAACATTATTAAAAATTATTAATTAACTTGATAATTTATTAATAAAAAAAGTGATTGGTTATAAAATTAAAAATCTTAAAGATAAAATGTAATTTTCAGAACTATAAGATGCGATTTGTATTTTAATTAAATTTCAAGAGATATATTTATAATTTATGTTAGAGGTGTATTCTATTGACAATATTTACTAAGAATAGGGCACCTTATAATAAAAGTCAACTTTACTATAAGTAAAGTAATTATAAATATTAAACTTAAAGTAATTATAAATATAAATAAGTATTATATCAAATTGACCACCCTATGGGAGAAACATAAACAACACTATAAATATCAAACTCCGTTTATACGCGTAATTCAAAATCTCGAGCTCGGCTCATTTGAAACTTATTTGAGTTCAGCTCGTTTAATGAGTTAAATTTTTAAACTTGTTTATTAATCAAACTAAGCTTGAGTTATCTTAAACTTGACTTAATAAGGCTTGTGAATATAAAGAAAATAAATTAATATTTATTTTTAATAATATATAAAATAAATTTTTATTAATTAATTATTTTATTTTATTTATATTTGGTATTTATGTAAATTTACATACTTGATTGATGAAATTTATTATTAATATAAGTATTTTTTGTATATTTTGTTCACAATCTTTTATTTGTTTTATCTTAATAAATAAATAATTTTTTTATTGCAAGTTTAATCTCGGCTCATTTATGTAAATGAGTTGACTCAAGCCGAGTTTGAATTTCTCAAATATTTAACGAGTCAAGCTTAAACTCGATTATTTAAATTCGACTTGAGTTCGACTAATTCTGAATAAGTAAGGGTTGGTTTGAGATGTTCTAAAAAAGTATATTTTTTGACTTATTGACTTATATGGGTTAAGTTGATGTGATTTAAATAAGATGATGTGACTTAAATAAGATAGTGACATTTTAACTTTTTGTATTATTTAAGTTATGCCAAACTTGACATACGTCTAAAATCTCAAAAGTTTAGATCTGTTGGGCTCATTTATAACTCTACTTAAGCTTCACACTACAACGTGATGCTACACAATCATTACACTAGCTAAAGGTCCTGGTTCACCAGAACACACTGAAACTCTTTGTTTGACAGGTAAGTTGAGTTTAAGCAGGGATTTAAAAAGAAAATAAAAAAATAAAAAAATAAAAAGAAGATAAAATATGTTAAATAAATTAATAAAATAAAATATCACATCTAAATCATAATTATTTTATATTTTTTCTTAACAAAAAAAAAATAAAAAAGTCCAAATATTCTTCACAAACGAAATTAATTTAGTCAGACTAAATTAATCAAGAAATCAAAGTGTAAAACTAAAATAGCTCTTCCCAAATTAATCCTAATTTTATATTAAAATCTTTCCGAGTGAACTTTGAATTTTTGGAAGGTTTGGACTTTGGTGTTTGAATTTATAAAAAAACATTAAATGTTTGATTATATTAATCTGTCAACATTTTCATTGAGTGTAAAAATGGAATAAATAAAAGTAGGAACAAGTTACATTTTATACGAATTGGTTTAAGCTAATTAATTTGTCTTAAGTGTATTTAGTTTCACTAAAATTTTAACAATTGAATGGCTCATCCATGTCTATTATATAGCGCAAAACAAAAAATAAATCTTTGCGAAACAGTTAATTAACTTGAATCGAACTACCATGAACAATTCAATCTGGTTCTATGATGATTGGGATTTTGATTGTTTACTAATCACAATCTTTCAATCTCTATACTCTCACATGGAACCGGACACGATTATGGCCCTGTTTGGTAGAGCTGTGGAAAAGTGCTTATAGCTTATGCCTAAACAGCTTATAGCTTATAACTTTCAGCTTAAGCTGATTTCCAGCTTATTCTTAAAGCATCTCCTGCCCCACTCAAAGAATAAGCTGTTTTCTGACTTCCAAAAAGCTATAAGCTATAAGCTAAACCAAACACATCAAAATAACTTAAATTAAGCTGAAAGCTGAAATAAGCTGACATTCCAACGCTTATAGTTACAAGGGTATAAAGGGATGACTTAATCTTCATAAAAGGGATTATGGACATATCAAAAAAGGGCAAAAGAGACAAGATAGGGGAAACCGAAGGTTCCAATGATGGAGTTCTCACATCCATGGCATTTTTCACCTTCTCTTTTTTGGAGTTTTGATAAAACTCTAGCCAAATAAATAGATTTTTCTTAAGTTTTGATTTGTGTAATGGTTTTTGAACAAATTGTATTGATGTTTTAGAAGCTTTTTAATACTTTTCTACTATTTTCTTGAAGTGTTATTTTTTTGTGATTGTTGAATGTTTTCAATATAATTCACCATGTTTGGTTCCACTTTTTGAACTCAATTTTTAGGAAAATTTGGAGTTTTTGTTTGGTTAAGTCCAAAAATCCAATTTTCCAAACAATTTAGGAAGAACAAATTATGTCTTATTTATGTCAAGTGATTAGATGTCTTCTGGAGGAATTTTGAATTAAACTCCAACAACCAAACAATGGTCACTTTTCCAAAAACACTTCTCAAAAATAAATTTTGAAAATTAACTTTAAAAAGTGAAACTAAACATGGGGATTGTTTTCTTTTCGTCTGTATTCAAAGTAAGAGACGAGTCATGCTAGGAGTAACAAATTGTGTTACTACCTTAGTTTAGAGCAAATGACTCGGATTACTTGAAGAAGATGGTGGATGTTGATGCAAGAAAATCATAAAGATGTGGATTGGGTAAAATTTTTGGAGATCTTTTATGACAAGTACTTCCCGCAATGTGTTCGGGACAGGAAAGTAGCCGGGTTCATGGAACTCAAGCAAGACATTATGACTGTAGCGGAGTATGAGGCCAAATTCATTGAGTTGGCCAGGTTTGCACCACATGTAATTGACACTGATTATAAGAAGGCAAGACATTTTGAGGGTGGGCTCCGAAGTGACATCTTAGAGAGAGTGAATGTCCTGAAGTTGGAAACCTACATTGGGGTGCTTGACAGAGCCATCATATCAGAGGCCAACATAGCTAGACAAGCTAAGCCAGTAACGGAATGGAAAGGAAATAAAGGACAAGGCTTCTTTTCGAAGAAGAAATTTCTGAAAAAGCAAAACACGGGCTCCTCAACTACTTCAAGTTCTTCCTGAGACACAGCTCCCACGTGCAACATTTGTAGCAAAAGGCACCGTGGAGTCTGTTACCGTGCATCAAGAGCCTGTTTCTGGTGTGGGAAACAAGGACATATAGCCCGAGAGTGAGACAGGGGAGAGAAGGTCGTTTTGATAGAAATGAATGGACTGAAGTTCGTTTTGACATAAACGAATGGACTTAAGGTCGTTTTGATAAAAATGAATGGGCCGAAGGCCGTTTTGACGTAAATGAATGGGCTGAAGGCCGTTCTGACATGAATGGGAATCTGATTGGGCCAAAGGCCAGTATGTTTGGAACTACAGTTGTTTGATCTGAATTTTGTATA